ACACCAAAAATATTTACAGCAAATAGTGTTTTAAAATAAATTGATCCAACTCGTTGAGGTGAATATAGGATGCCAACATTCTGAATTTCATCACCAGCATCATTAGTTTGAATATAATTAATGTTAACGTCACCAGTTTCACCACAATTTCATGACCAATATTATTTTCTTCACTTGTTAATATAGTTCTAGTTTGTCTTCTTCTGTTTTGTTTATGTCTGTGACCCCTTATATAAGTCCTTTCTTCATAAATAGTAGGAGCAATTATCTCTTGATCCAAGTCATTATTACTGTTATTGTTATTTATCATTGTTGATGATTGTTGTTGTGATTATTGATGTTGTGCTGATGTGGTGGCAACATTATCATTAGAATTATCATTTTTACTATAATCCAGGGTTGGCAAATTGACTGGTCCATTGAGAACTGATGAACTTTGGACTGATCCATTGCCATTAATAAAATACTAAATATGATTAAAGTGTTATGCTAATGGACCCAATAGATCACCAATAGACCGCATATTTGCCAACCCTGCTATAATCATTATAATTGTTATTGTCATCATAACTAGGAGTGCTCCAAGGACTATCTTCTCTTAAAACATCATTTTCCTTGAGCATATTTTTAAAAAAATTAGATTTTTGTGATAATACTAACAATAAAGCAATAGATAATAATGAAGATACCTCTTCCCCCAACATATATATAATTGGTGAAGCAATAAAAATAGATTAATTGGTTTTAAACGTTCATGAATATTTGTCTTTTGTATAATTTTCGCTAGTTCTATAATGCAAGTCACTTAGTCCCACAACTTTCTATGCCACACCACCAATTTTGAGAAAAAATTTCCAATCAAAAATGCAATAAAATTTTACAGTCACATGATTTTTAAAAATGTCAAGTGCTAAATAAATACAGTGCGGATCATCTATACTCAAAAGTTAAAATTTTTGAAATATTATGTGATCCACACATTGGATTTTTAAAAACTCGCCACCATTCAATTCGGCTTTAAAAAGGGAGTCTATTAATCTAAAAAAAAAATTTGTCTCAAATTTTCTTTTTCATAGATTTTTTAAATTTGAAAGTTATGCTCAGAAGTGCAACAATAATTTTCGTGTTACAATATTTTGAATCTCACGACCAAATTTGGTAATGATTTTCTTTTAATGTAATATGTTCGTTAAACTTTTTTGTTGTAAAGAACTTTTATTTATTAATAAAAAAAAGGAAATAAATAAGTCAAATAAATCAAATGTATGTTGTAGAAAATATTCTATGAAAAAAAAGTTGTTACACGAAATTTACTTAGTCTCAATTTCTTAAATGTATAACAAAATTCGGAATTTTCAAAATGCTAAGGCTCTGCCAATTTTCAGTTTAAGAAAAAACCAGCCGATAGGTTTTGAAGCTTGAGTCATGAACAATAAAACTTATCGGTTAAATTTTTTAAAATGATGTAATTTTTTTGTTTTAGTATTTTGAAGTTGACCAATTGTTACTATAAGCAATTAATGATTAAAAATGAAACTAATAATGAAAGACTGAAACAAGATTCATGTTTCTTTTAATAAATAGCAATCTTTCCAGTGGGCTTGAATTTAAACTGGACCTAAATTATTTGTTTTACCCGAATTAATTTTTTTGAATTATTTGCTTTATTCAAATTAATATTAATATTAATATTAATTTCCTTATTCGAATTAATTTCCTTATTCGAATTAATTTTTTTATTCGAATTAATTTCCTTATTTGAATCAATTTCCTTATTTGAATCAATTTTCTTATTTGAATCAATTTCTTATTCGAATTAATTTTTTTATTCCTTATTTGAATCAATTTTCTTATTCGAATTATTCATTTTATTTGAATTAAAATTTATTCGAATAAACCTTCAATGTAATTCGAATACTCAAATTCATAATGAATAAAGTGAATAATTCGAATAAACCTTATTCAAATAGAAACCCTATTTTCAAGTGAGGACCCAAGGTTCATTCATTATCACTAAGTTGGTTAAATGTCCAATAAAAAATTTTTATTAGTTATTCACATTTTTGTCTCCCCACACTAGTAATAATTTATCAAGCTAACATACTCAATGTATATAAAATAATTAAACATAACTAATGAAAACATACGAAAAATATATAAAATATAACACTGTATTTATTGTTATTTTTTTTTTTATCAATTATTTGAAAAACTTCCAATTTATCAAATCTACTGCCATGTGTTATATTGATGTTACTATAACTTGGGGCATGCTGCAACAAAACCCAACAAAGTGAACATTGGTGTTACCAATGATTTCAGGATCAATAGTGTTTGTTTATCATCACCACTATAATGTGACCATGATATTTTTTTCACTTCTTATATAGATAGGGTTAGTTACCTTTGCATAAAAATAGTTAATACGAAGCTAATTTACATTAGGTCTACCATGGAACCCAAGAATTATAATACAATCAGAAGCATGTTGAAGAAAGAGCAAGGGAAAAAAATTGCTCCTTATATTTTCAAAATAAATAATACTCAGACACTTGTGAAATTTATCAAGGGGAAAGAAAAATAGAAAAAGAAAGCATCATGATGATGCGTTATTACCTAATAAAAAACAAAATCTTTAAAAGGAAAATAACTACCATTTTCTTTGATAGTTGAAATGAATTTCAATTTATACAGAATTTCTTTAAACTACTTTCTTATTTTCAATCAAGATCATCTCTTTGTTTCTTTAACTTCAATTTGAGCAACTTGTTGGTTCTGTTGTTTCATTAATCATTCAACCTCACTTTCAAGTCTTTTAATTTTATCTAATAATTCTTGCCTTTGCTTATTATGTCAATCCTTTGAAACATCTAAGGCTTCCAAATGAGTACTGATTTCTTCCTTAGTACTAGATAGTTGCTGTTTTAAGTCTTTATTCTGCCATTCCAATCTGCCAACATAACTCTGTACAATTATTTCTGTTATGGTTGGGGTTTTGACTGGTTGATCTTTCCTTAAATCTCAGAATCAATCTATCCTGTTTCTCATAATTCTACTGCAATCATTACAATGTGGCAAAGTATTATCATCAAGAGCTTTTTGCACTCAACACAAATATAAGCAATGTCATTGTAATCATTATTGTTTGTATTGTAAGATACTATTTTGTAAGTAGCATTTAAACTCCTTTCTCTTTCAAAAAGACAGAAATTACAATGCCATTTATCTCCTCTCCTCAGCTCATTAATTTGGTATTCTAATTTCATGCTATTTATTCTTTTGGTTTCAAATTTTTTCTCAAGTTATTTCTTTTACTTGGCTAACTTTGTTTTTTACTTTGTTAGTTAAGAGTTTAAATTTGTTTTCTTCCTTTGGTAAACTGGTAGTTCTTGAAGCTGCTTGTCTGCCAAATATTTCTGTCATGCTACAATTTTTTCCAACAACTCTATTCGCCTAGAAGCTTTTTCTAAGTTGTCATCTTTTTCTTTGTTTTGCCTTATTCTCCACTGCCTAGCCAATTCAAGAGCATCTAAATGACATTCAGATGTTTCCTCCTCTAATTCTAATGCTTCTTCTAATTCTTTAATCTGTTCCTCCTTTTCTTTTAACTTTTCTTCATATTCCTGCTTTTCTTCAAATTTTGGGAATTTAAATCACTGATTTTTGACCAACTTCCTGCATATTCTGAAGCTAAGTCATTTGAATAATCAATAAACCTTTCTAACATCTCTTCAATGGTAATGTTATTAAATCAAATTCTTTTACAGTTTTAGCTCATTCTCTGGTTTCATTAGGATCTACTTCCATTCTCAACTTACCTTCATCCATTCATTTCTTATTTAACTTCTTGAAATGAGTTGCAGGTTCTCATTGCTTTGATGTTTACATGGCATTACAATTCATCAGCAGAGTTGCAACAGCTTGATCACAGTGCCATCCTTACCCTTAGAGGTGGGATCGTTGCAGGTAACTTTTTGGCTAGCATGCCAGCGGCCTTCTCTGGTCTGATGCTGTAAGGGAAGATTAGTGAAAATATCCTTGATGATGATGCAGTTTTGTAAACTCCAGAACCACGCCCTCCTGAAAATTTAACAACATCATTGTATCATCAGGGCACACAAGTCAGATTAGCCTTTTGTACATGAGGAACATGTGAGAATGACTGTAAAGTGTTCAAGGTAGTATGTGTGCTTCAACACTTGTAAATTTTCAATAATCAAATGTTGCTTATCAAATTGTTTCTTTTTCAACATTCAATGCTGCCTTGACATCTTGTAATTATAATAATATAATATTAGTATTATTATTATGATTACGCAAAGCAAAATATTATCAATGAAAATCTTGTTCCGTGTTTTGATTTCCAATTAAAATATTTATAAGCTAAAATAAAAATATCAATACAAATAAAAAAAAGTACCTCTGGTTAGTTATAAACACATTTCTTTAAGAGACCCAAACCAAACCAAACAATAACACTCACGTTTTGTCACCTTGGACACTGTCAAAAAATAAATTGTTTTTCCAAAAAAAAAAAAAAATCAATTCGTGTCTGTCCTCCCAAAAAAAACCAATAGGATAAATAATTAATGTATACGTGTTGATCAAATCACAAACTTCTTTTTTTTTTGTAAAAATGTCTAGAAATAAAAGAAGTAAAGAATTCGTTGTTAATGTTGCTGGGTAAGTGTTTTAAGGATGGTGGTGGTTATCACCTGCCACTCACCATTATTCTAGTTTCTTTCTTAAAAATGCCTAGAAACAACAAAAAAAACATCAAGAAACAAAATCAACAAAATAACAAAGGGGAGGCGCTTAGTGGGTAAGTGTTTTAAGAATGGTAGTGGTGGTTATTGCCACCACTCATCACTCTAGTTCTAACTTATAATAACAAAAAATTTCTGTTTTAAACATCTTGGCTATTCCTCCTCACCTTCATCTCTAGTATTATTTCAAGTGGATTATTTTATTTTTAATTTAGTTATTTGCTTATAAAATTTATGACTAATGCCCATTTTCATAATGAAATAAAGATTCTTAGAGAGATCAATGCTGTAACCAAAAAACAAAGAAATAGTAGAAAAGAAAATATACCAGAAATTATTCAGCAGGAATTTGATGCCATCGATCAAACCATTTTGGATTTAGCAAGGAAACTTTTCATGGTGTTGATACTTACTCCTGTCATCAAATTTGGAAATATTGATTAAGTCTTCAAAGAAATAGAAATATTCACAGTAAATATGCGATCTTTTTGTTTGTTTGTATCTATTTTATGGTCAAATTTATGAATTATAATCACTTTTATCAGTTTATACAATCGTAGAATACTATATTTGGATGTAATGGAATTAGAATGGATCCACACCTCTGTCATTGATCATGAAGCTTTTAGTCTTCCAAGACTTAATGAAATGCCTCCACAAATAACTAAATTGTTAGAGACTTTGGAAAATTTAGTAACTATTGATTTTTGAATTATATGAATTAGGAAATTGGTTATAAATATATAATTAATTCATCAATATGATTATAGGGAAGTTTTCAATCTTGGTTTAATTTTGGTAATCACATTAGATGCAATTATTATACTCAAATCATTGACAATTTATGGCCAAGTCGAACAATGGAAGAAGATAAAATTGTTAATTATATGTTTGATACAATCCTCCATTAGTGAGCATAGAAGGGTTTTCATTTACTATTAAGTGATTTATCTATTAGGTTTATATAGCTGTGATCCATCCCATATTTACATGAACTAAATTTATTTTACAGTTGTGATCTTTTTGAATCGAAGTTGGAAGAAAATCTTGAAAGTGATGCTGGAGTAAACCACCTGGTGCCTTTAACCAAAATTATATGCAATTATTTAAAAATTACTTTGTAAATGTTCTTTATTTTTGTTTATTTTATTATTATACACAAACATTTAACACTTATTGTACATTAGTGGGGAATATAACAGTGTTGCTGTTAAATTGTGATGTGATCTTGGATGTCCACTTCAGAAAGGAGGAAAAAATTCAAAATGGACCTTGTAGGAATCTACCCGGACCCAGACAACACACGATGTGATATTTTAGCATTTTGTTAGTTTGTTTTATTTGTAGAGATTAAATGTAACCCCGTGTGTTGTTGGTAAAGTGTCTTGTCAGTAAAGTGGGTGTTGGTAAAGTGTCCCAGACCCGAATCTACCAAGGTTATAAATTTTTATATCATGAAAATTCTTTTGATCATAAAGACATGACTAAAAAATCATGAGGAGACTTACTTAAAATTGCCACATATGCATGAGATGGATCATTTTTAATATGGCAGGATGCACATAAAGAGGTTCATACATCCTTTGATCAAATTTTGCAATATCTTGTTGAAATAAGAACGTGGGGTATCCATCTATTAGGACAAATTGAAGGACATCAAGGTCTTCATATTGAAGTTTTTGGGATGAGGCAAGCAAAGCATGGTTTATTTTTATTTTCAAATTTAGATTCATTTCTGTTGCCAAATACAAAATCATCAGTAGGTTTTCAATGTATGGCAAAGCCAATAGAAACTATGATTCGTCTTGCAGTAAGTTACATATCTCTTTAGCATTGTTATCTTTTATTACATAAGGAATTAATATAATCTCTTTCATTTATTAGAGTGGGATCAAATAATCTACCAAATGACTTCAAGAATTATGACAAGTTATATCAAAGATTTGCTGTGGAGAACCTGTAGGGGTTTCTGAAAGGCATGAATATATTCAACCAAGTAGACTTAGGTCTCCTACAAGAAAGTACGAAAAACTTGATTAAAAAGTCTGCCTTTTTTATATTAGTAGATGATTATTCATCATTATTTTTATATTAAGGATCAAAAAAATTATTGCATAAATAAAAATTTAAATCTCAACTAAGAGTAGTTTACTATTATTATCATGTAATGTTTATAATGTTACACAAATAAAATTATTATCATCCACTTCAAAAAAAAAATCTCCGTTTTTTGTATAGCAAGCGATTTACAACCATAATAAAATTTTAGAGCTAGACTGGGACTTTAACAACAGTTAAAAGAAAAGTCTAGCTTAAATATTGTTATTCTACGCCAGGTCAGAAGTGTTTCTTTTCTTCACACTTATTTTAAGATTATCACTTGACTAGTATGTAGACTAAAGCAAATTCAGCAGCAACAGTTGTGCCAAATTGTTCCCTACAAAGTTGCTTCTAACCACTTGGAAGGTTGCATTAGAAAAATTTTGCTTTTAATTATAAGGGGCTGATTTATAGTTAATTCTAATTCTATAAACATTAAATTTAGATAATATATCTGATATTCATTTAACAATAATTAGGAATTAATTCCAGGATGTCCTGTGTCTGATGTAATGGAAAAGTAAAAGGACATTACTCAACATCTTGAAAATATTGTCCAAAAACCTGAAATCATGGAACATCTTTTAAATTCAAGACTCATTTAGCTAATGAATGTCCTGCATGTCATTATTATTATTCTATTTCTCATTTTTATTTGGATGAAATTAACAATCAACAAAGCAATGAATGTAATAAACAAAAACAGAATGCCAAGCTCTTTTGTCAAACTTTTATGAAAGTGCTATTCTAACTGACTAAAGAAAAAATTCAAATTATTTTGACCATTTCATCACATTTTGTCACGTGTGCCCCATTTGACAAAATATTTTTTACACTCCAAAATATTTCGTCACCCAACCTTGGTGAGGACTCAAACAAAGTTATTTTCTACTCCCCACTTTTCAAGTGAAAACCAGAAGTTCATTTACTATCATTAAATTGGTTAAATGTCCAATAAAAATTTTTTATTAGTTATTTCACATTTTTGTCTCCCCACACTAGTAATAATTTATCAAGCTAACATACTCAATGTATATAAAATAATTAAACATAACTAATGAAAACATATGAAAAATATATAAAGAAATACAATGATAATATAACACTGTATTTATTGTTATTTATTTTTATCAATTATTTGAAAAACTTCTAATTTATCAAATCTACTGCCATGTGCTATATTGATGTTACTATAACTTGATTCTGTGCTATAAATAGTACCCTCAAATTGAAACACCAAATCATTACAACCAAAAATAGCTAAACATGAAGGATTGCAGTAAATTGCATATTGATGATTGATAGCATAACTAAATTTTGCAGTGTTAATATTATTTCTATTACTTATATTAAATATAAAACTTTCAGTGGTATTTTTATAACACCTTCCATTCCAACCAAGTGGATTATAGCCACCAAATATTTGATTTGAATTTTGTATTTTGCCAACCACAAGAGTTTTGTTGATATTATTGCATTTTTGATGAAATGTAGCAGCATTTAAACCATCTCTGCTACTACGATATAGAAGTTTGAATTCGTATTTGACTTCACTGAATGAGGTATATGGTGGACTTTTTCTATCAATCAAACTTGCAAAAAGCAAAGTAAGGTTTTGATTAATTGTCAATGATTTAAATTTTGAGATTCTTGGTGGTAATAAATTT